ATCCTCTTCTTGTCTATTAACAGATAATAATAGGGACAGAGTGAGGAGGTGACCCAGTTTCTTTACCTTGCTGCACCTACATAGTGCACTGTTGTTTTACAGATTCATTGTGAATGTTCTCACCCAGTCTCACTTAACACATCAGAGACCAGTTGTGTCTCAGTTATCAACTACCACATTTGACACGCAGCATGATCAATAGCCACACTGGTTACTCTTACAACTAGCAGAAAGTGGCATTTTAAAGCCATTATGTAAAGGTATCTTTACTCCCTTATTAATAATTTGTGCTTGTATGTTTTAGAAATTAGTTTTACAGTACTCTCCTTGAACCAAATTTTCCCAAAGGGATTAATGCAGTAGTATTTCTTCATCATCATCTGTTTTAGACCACACACACACACACACACACACACACACACACTTGCTCCCCGGTCCCCACACTCCTGCATTGTGCCAATGTACCAGATGCCTGAACTCTTCAGTAAAGTTTTATGAATCCAAGTCCAGTCTCAGTGTCCCAACCCAGCATTCCATATCAGCCAGCTAAATCCTTCATTAGGAAGGAAGTGAAGCATCTCATGTATGGGGACCTACTCTCTTCTGATTGGCTTGCAGACGTAGGGTTCCCAGACATGAGGTCCAGTTGGACTTTCTTGGTAATTAGCTTAAAAGTAGTTTAATATTCATACACACAGTACAGATTAAACAAAGGAGATATACAGTAACAGATATACATACATCTTGAAAGGCTGCCTCACATGGTGACAAAGGCCTAGTTATTTTTACTACTTTTAAAAATACTATAATCTATTTAGCTCCTGGTAAACACCTAAGTGAGTTTGTTGCAGATTGCACTTCGTGCAGCAGGTTTGACGAAAACCCCATTTTGACAGAAATATGTATAACATTTTAAAAAGAGCACTGCCAAGAAAAGGGGGCAAAGACTTAAGACACACTGCGGTCCAACCTGTTTCCTGCATGTGACTGGTAATTAAACATAGTAAAGCACGAAAGAAAAATATGCTGTCAGCAAAGTACCCTGCTGACGTGTTAAAATAGTAAAAGTACTGATCTTTTTTTCCCCTCATCTCTGTAAAAATCCCCTTGTTACAAATGACTAACCTCCGTCTTCTTGGCATCTTCCTCCTCTGCAGTAAAATTAAGTTCCATTCTCTTAACTCTCTTACGTGTATGAATGAAAGCAACTACCTCTTGAGTTGACATAAGCTAAGTGAAATAATAGGAAAGTAGCCTGAGAAACGGAGAGTTAAATGGCAGCTCACACTTATCTGAAATGCCTCAGTACATTTGTTTATACACATACTAATATTAGTCTTACTAGTATAACATAGCCTGAATAAGAATAAACCTAAGAGCACTAAACTGTGAAGAGGGCATTTTTTAAGATAAAAATAGCCTATTTAGTGAACATGCCAAGCTGAGTTTACAGAATATATTGTGATCTGAGAAAACAGTTGGCTAATTAAAATGTAAAGTGTCATGTCAACACTATGTCAGTCATACAAATAATTAAAAGAAATGTCCTACATTTAATGCAGAATGTCAGTACAAGTCAGCAGTAGGGTCAAGTTGGACGGTTAAATAAACATTTTGAGAAATACACTTATTTGCTTAGAGAAAGATGAAAAGATTAATACTGATATGTGTCTGTTAAATGGTAACCCCCAGCAGTTAGCTTAGTTCAGCACCAAGACTGGAAACAGGGAAACGGCTAGCCTGGCTCCGTCCAAAGGTAACAAACTCTTCCCATCAGCGCCTCTAAAGCTCACTGATAGATTAACATGTTATGTCTTGTTCGTTTAATCTGTACAAAGACAGAAAGTGTAAAAGCGACAATTTGCCATTTGTTACGGGAGTTAGATGCCAGACTATTTCTTGGCTGGCAGCAGTAACACTCTGGAGTCTCTGCTGGTTGCCGGGCTGCTGCTGCTGCGACACACAGAGCCAAACTTGCTTTCTCTCCATATTTAAGGGACAAGTATGAAATCTTTGCATCTAACACTTCATCAGAAAGGGATATGTAAGCTTATTTCCCAAAATGTTGAACTATTCCTATAACACACTACATCAAGGGGGAATCAAGTTTGTGTTAGGGGCAAACAGCATTTTGAATAAAAATCAGGGAATGTAAAGAATTAGATGGTTGAGTTCAAGCAAACCAAATAGAAATTATCAATGGCCTGAATTAGTCATTTTCTTTTTTAAAGCTTTTTATTTTGCCTTAAAGGTACGTTAATCAATATTTTTATGTTACAGTGCATTAAATGACAAAAGCTAAATGTGAAAAGTGTTGTTTAGAGTAACCTTACACTACCTGTCCAGCACCGAACGCTACACAGACAAAGTTAGCGACTAGCTGGTGAACATAGTGGAGACCAAAACAGAGCGAAAAGAGAGGGAATATTTAACGTGCATTTGTTGGGTGGTCAAAAACACGACTCCAAACTAATGTTGCTCTGTGTCTGCCTGATATGCATTAAAAATAGTTAGTAATAGTTTCAACTTTATATGATGACAATATGTCAGTTTGTGCTAGCTACTTGGTTAAAATGTGAAGCATAGTGACTTCAAGTCAGTGCATGAGAATTATGTATGTACACCTGCAGACAGCTGGATAGAGAGTGACAACTTTTTAGGCATGATTTGCAAGTTGATTCAGGAAATTGACTCACTGTGGTCGTCTGCAGCCCTGTGCCACAATAAAGGGGCACCTCAGACATTCTCGTGTTATTTCAACCACTAAAAACTGCATTATGAGCTTCATGAAGCATATCACATTGAAAGAAAGGTTTAGTGTACCTTGACTGAGAACTTGAGTAAGCCTATACGTATTTGGTTAGAATGAGGAAGATGAAGATATTTCAGACGAGACAGCACAGTTCTGAGGATTTGTGTGTGATGCTTGACTAGTAGAGTGAGGACCACCTGCACTGTGCATCAGGCTGTTGTGCTATCTGGACTATGACAGCATATAATGTTGGTCTGCTGCAGTAGCTGAGAGGTTTTTGTAAAAAGGAAATTATTAATTTCCCCCATGCTATGCGAGAACAATGCAGTAGTGACATGGGTTTGATGACTTGATCCTCATTTCAATCCAGGTCTGGAGTGTGTCCCCTCCTTATCAAACATGCTCTATATTCATGAGAAACCACAGACATCAGTGTTGTCGAGTGTTTTATCTGTATTTCTGTAATTTATAACTACTTTGGATTTAAGTTTTACTTTCTGTTTAGTTTGGTTGCTCTGTTCTTGCTTGTTTTCTAACTGAGAATCAAGACTCCTTTGTTTGTTGGAAGGATAAAGAGAGAGAGAGAGAGAGAGAGAGAGAGAGAGAGAGAGAGAGAGAGAGAGAGAGAGAGAGAGAGAGATTAGGTCTAAATGAAAACATGCATGATTTTTGAACAAGTATTTGAACCCAGAAAACAGAGTTCTTCTTGTAATGGGTGACCCCGCCTCCCTTCCAGTACCAGTACTGTTCTGGCATGAAGAGGACAATTTACAATCATGAAATGGACAATTGTTTCCAACAAATGATTGTGAAATATTAAATGCATTTTCATTTTAAGCCTCCTCCTTTTCATTTTGCCCACCCTGTTTCTCTCCCTCCTCCATTACAGACATAATTTTTATGTAAACTGAGTACAGGCCACACACTCACACTCACACTCACACTCACACGCACACACACACACACACACACACACACACACACACACACACACACACACACACACACAGTCCACAACCTGTGAGGACCTGCCACAGCTGAGGAATGCAACAAGAGACTGAGCCAAGAGAAAAAGCTATTCATTCAGAGCCCCTTTTGGACTCACACACACACAAACAAACAACTTTAACAGAATGTATTTGCATGTCATAGAGTGCCACTGTGTGCACATGAGCACAACTCTGGACATGTATTTGCACACGCACGCACACACGCACACGCGCACACGCACACACGCACACACACACACACACAGTTTATGGCTAATGGAAAGTTGACAATCTCTGTCAATATGGCCCTCTACTGTCTCTCACTCTCTCTTAATGAGAAGGCTGGCTAATAGTGAGCGTGCAGGTTCGTGTGATTGTATGTTTGTTCAAATGTCCACAAAAAAAATGTAATTTGTGTCTGCGTTTGTAGGTCTTAAGATTGGCACAAACAGAGCTTTCAGTCTGTCTCAGTGGGAAAGTTGACCTGGAGAGAGTTCTTTGTGTTTTTCTCTCAGATGATGCAACAATTGCAATATGCAGACGTTTAGTGTTCCACCGAGAGCCCGAATTGATTCAGCAACGACCTGAACAGAATGGAAACGGTGATGAACACAAAGAGGTGGGAAAATCTGCAGGTAAACAATGTCAACTACTAAACAATGTCAAGAGTTATGACTGGGTTTGAAGTCTTAACTCCTTACCCTCAATAACATGAATGTGTCCATCCATGTTTATGTGTGTGAGAGCGGGAGAGAGAAAGGATGCCAGCTCATTACCTAGCAGCCAAGTAAACAATGTCAAAGAGTTACGATTGTGTTAAGCGCTGCCTAAATCTCAATTACTCTCAATCTTTGGCTAAAGACACATGAATCCTTTCTGCTGAGCTGGGCAATAAAACACTTCTCAAAGTGTCCCTAATATGCAGTAAATTAGTGCACCACCTTTCATCCCAGCTGCCCCTGAAATTAAATACTGCCTGTTTTTGTTGCAATGCAGAGAAATGTGTATGTTTATAGCAGGGTTGAGTTAATTTTAATTCTGGAAGAAGGAAATGGCATATTATCCTACTAATAATATTATATCAAAAAATAATTAAGAACCAGCATCATTAGCAAACAAATTGTAGCTGTAATTTAAAAGTGAAATTGAAACTCTCCCAAGCCTAAGTTTCCCAAGCTGCTTCTGCTGATTTGTATTTTCTGGTAATGAGAAATGAATAAATGACAAGTGAAAACAATGAAAAGAACAAACTCATCGTGTCACTTTTGTTAAATACATGATTTATGTGCACCGTTTGAGTTAAAAACTAAGCTTTATCATTCTTAGTGACAGTACAGTAGCTGCCAAAGGCATCAGAGTATTCTACATATCAAAGCAGCCTTTACTCAAAAAGCTTCTCTCCACTTGAGGTTATCAGTAAGTGCTGGATTCTTGTCTGAACAAAAGTGTTACAATACTTCCAACTATCTTCTAGCATTAACAAAACAGATGATATTTCTTCTAGAGAGTGGTAGGATTACAATGTGTAAATCATTGTTCACAGTTTGTGTGTAAATGGTCATTGAAAACATGTGTCTGATTACCAAAAGTAAAGTAGCCATCGTAGAAGTAACATTGTCTCTATGATTAATATCTTTCAAAATTTCTAATGTTTTAGTCATCTGAAGGCACGAGGAAAGGACCTGGCAGCCAGTCACGTCAGTCAGAGACAGTACACAGATTTGATCTGCTGCATGATGTCCAAACAGATAATGACCTGCACTGATTACTGCAAGATTAAAGCAGGGTTGAAGACTCCTATGATGGCTACTTTGCTATAAAAAGAAAGAAAAATACAAGTAATGCTTGATGGGGTGATTGTGGTACTGTCAGGTTGATTTTCAGTTTTTAATATGAAAATTAGAAGTACTCATGGCAGATTTGCTTGATGGGGTAGAATATGACTGTAGTTTGTCATTTAAGCAGGCAAACATGCTCAGTTTGATGAACAGCTCACTGTCCGTTTTTGTAAATACACTTATTTGCTGACTTACCGAGAGTTAGATAAGAAGACCAATACCACTCTCATATTTGTCCATTAAATATAAGGCTATAGCTAGTAGCTGGTTAAATATTGGAAATGGGGAAGCTTACCTCTGTCCAAAGATGAAAAGAAAAATCCCCCTAACATCACCTCTGAAGCTCACTAATTAATACCTTACATCTCATCTGTACAAAAAATGTGTGTAAAACTATAAAAAGATAAAGATGTGGTTTTACGGAAGGTTGTGTTCTTGGACCAAGTCAGTGACAGTTTTTAATGCTAAAACAGTAAAACGAGCTGCTTGAAATCTCCGGAAAAGCTACTAAATGCACCTTGTGGTGAGATTATTTTCTTTAAGAGAAATTCAAAACATTATCGTATGTTCAGCTACAGATTTAAACTAAATCGGCCTATAGCACAATACAGATTTTTAAAAAAAGACATATAAAGTGATTTGTTGTCTTTGGACTAAAGTTTCCCTCTGTTGCCAGTCATTAAGCAATGCTAAGCTATAACCAGCTACTGCCTGTAGCTTCAGACAGTCACCTAACTCTCGGCAAAAAGTGCAAAGCTTATTTCTCTAAAAGAACTATTGCCATAAACTTTAATGTTAAAATGTGTTTTATGAATATTACCTTATTGTTTGGTTATGGTACATGTAGTGATAAATTCAAATCATATAAAATCATTAGCATCCGTATACTCATCATGAACGTCCATGATATGGATTACTGATATTTCTGTGGAAACTGAAGTTGCATTTGTCAGAAACACAACAGTAAATGCCATTTGGATCATCATGGACAAGATTGCAGTAACAAGCTATTGGACTTTTTGATATGTTGGATATGATTTTTCCCCCTGCTTTTGAGTGATAAACAGGAGCCTACGTGGAATTTAAATGCGATTGCAATAAATATGAATGCTTGACTATTTTATAATTCATGTTAGTTGATTGACAAATTATATTTGAAGTCATTAGAACTGTCAAATCGGTCAAACACTTAAATACTTTGACCACCAGATGGTCATTGTATGCAACCGGTTATACAAATACTGTGACATTTTGAATTTGAGTCAGCTGTCACATTGTGGGACACTGTACGGGCGATTGTGCCTCCCAGTTTCAATGATGAATGCTGACACGGCTAACAAGACATTTCAGGGAACGCTAACAAAGACAAATGCATAAAGTTTTTCCACAGCGTGTCAAGTGTTTGGTGAAGAAAAATGACCAAGTGAAATTCTGAATGTCCTTTCAGAGCTAATGGTGAATAAATTATATAATTGGTAAATGGAAGGCCGTTTTGCCATTACATTTTGATTGAATTAAAAGTGAATTCATCTCAACCTTGCTGCACATGTCCAGTCCTTCCAATCCTGGACGTGACAGTAATGCCCAATCTGCTCCTTTAAATGTGTCCCTCTGTAAATATCATCCCTTTGCTTCTAGTCCAGTCCATGTTTCCTTCTGTGGCTCTTCAGTCAACACTTCGGTCCATGCAGCCCTTAAAGGGAGGGTTTATCCCAAAGAAATCTGTCAATTTCGCTCAAAGCAAAACTAATCTGGTTTCTCCAGTGTTTCTTTAACTTGGAATTCGAGACCCAAAAAAGATCGGTTTCCAGATAGAGGCTACATTCACTCAGCTTGGGTCCCCGACTGAAGGTGTGACGTGGTGTACTGCATGCGGGCTGCAGAGAGGCGGCAAAACAAGGTGGATTTCTGTTTTTAAAAGGAGGTGAAATGTCCCTTTACAGAGGTCAGGCCACCAGACCCAGGCGGGAGATCTTAGCAGAGAGGAAGGAGTGGAGGATGAAGACGATTGGCTTCGGACACGAGTGAAGGTCCAGTTGCTGGAGGAGGAAGGGAAAACGACAGAATTAAAAAGTAAAACAAGACAGAATAATACAAAACACGACCAGGGTAAAGAGGAGGGAATAAAAGATTCAGAGAAGCAGATGGGATGACAGAGAGAGGAAGAGGCAGGGGACAGAAGAAAAAGAAAAAATGAGTTTGTAAGCACATAAAACCATAAAAATATATTCAAAACTAACTACACAGTCAACACAGTTCCCCATGAGGCAAGGATTAGACAGTCCTGGAGTGTGCACACACACAAACACCACATCGCTGTGAACAAAGCTCTGTTCATAGCCTGAATCAACAGTGGGTGATTTCACCGGTACTATGACTCACATCCTGTTCCTTAAGCCTATAGGGAAATTTAACCAAGCACACTTAAACTACTGTTTAGTTGGTCAAACTTAACACTGAGGAAGTCCAGCAAACCCAGTGCAATGAAATATGAGTAGACCTACACATCATTACCGGTCCAAAAAGTCCGATTTTCAGGAGTTAAGATAAATGCATTTATTTTTTTAACCATGCTACCCACTTTAGGAGTAGGATATCAGTCGGTCTGTCAGTCTGTCCAAAGCTTGGGTCCAATTCGACAACTGTTTTTTATTAGCATTGTCATTGTGAGCATATTAGCATGTTGACTAAAGCATTTAGTTAGCATTTAGCACATAGCCTTGTTCTTTTCTTTGCCTTGCTGATCACCCAGAGCAGAATTGTGTATTTCATTGATGCTTTCCAAGCCACAATCAACGGTTTGGCTTGGTCCAAGATCCACAATACATTTTCTGTATGGGAGAGATAAACTGTCAATTGCTGTGACAAAATTAGACATAGCCTACATAGTCCCTGCCAAGTAATGACAGTATAGTCACCACTTTGAAAAAAAGCCCAGCTGATTCCACTTTCAAATGTAGAACTAATGAGCCTTCAACCACATCCGCAAGTGCCTTGGGATTTTTATAAAGCCTTGACTATGGCTGTGCTGGGATTCAGAAATGTTACAGATACCCAAATGTGTTCTGCTAAGGTAGCCAACAGAGGGTTTGGAATCAAAGCTCTAAAGTCTTTGCTTATTTGCCTTCAGCATAATCTGAGTAGTCAAACATTAGTGTATCTGACAGAAAGTTTATACGGAGCTCTTTGTGGGCTGTTACACAGTCAGTTCAAGGTGTAGATATAAAACATCTAAGTTTTCAGAGAGTCTCATAAGCCTAGAGAGTAAATATTTTAGTTTTTACTGTCGCTTCATTTTTCAACATACAGTAAATCACTGTGCTATGGCTTCATGAATGATGAAACATCAATGTATACGTGCCAAGTAAAGGTAATAAAACACTGATATTCACATCAGTATTGTCAAATAAGATGAAGAAGAGGCTAAAAACTCAAACTTTTCAAACAGAAGTGATGAACATATTGGATAGTAAGAGTGTACTTGGTTGTTTTCAGGCATACACATCAAATGGTCCTGATTACTCCCTGAAACACGGGCCACCTGGACCTCCATACAGTGAGCCGCTGAGTGGTGAAAACAGATTAAAACTCTTACAGTGAGTGACAGGCTATTTTTTCTCAAACGCTCTTACCAAAACCTACGTATGTGTGAAGTTCGTTTTATTTCAGGACTTATTTTGTGATGAAGTGCTGTAATTTACTTTCCTGCACCACTTTCACTCTGCCTGTCTCTCGTATTCTTGTACTCCAGTTTGTGTTTTGCTTCATTTCCCAGAAGGCCCTCTGAAACCCCCTGAGATTTGGTATGAACTTGTTCTATTTACTGTGAGTTGTACATGACCACAAAAAAGTAAAGGCTCATAGAAGAATATTTTAACTCAGCTTAACTTAAAAATGGGAAAGGTAAGTCATTTTTGGGGGATTGTGTTAAATATTAGAAATATTTTGTTTCATAGCAAACACTCACAATCTCCCCCTCCTTCCCTCCAAAGTCAAGGATGAGCATGCGAACTCCGTCATCTGAGGACATCTTTAATTTTTCGTAGGGGTAAGAGAGCAGCACCCGGGGCCTGGTAGGTGTGTGAGCTCCTCTCTCCTCCCTGTTCTCCCCATCTCCCAGTGTGGGGTCAGCCAGCACAGAGAAGCCCTGTTCATAGTGGATCACCAGCCGACACTCCTGACTTCGGTACAGACAACCTGAAAGAATAATAGATTTGAATGTCAGCTAATAAGATGGTCATAAACAAATCCCCTTGTTTTTCATTTCCCCTGTATTCATAATCTGTCCCTGTACATGCATTATAGAATAAGTAATTACAATGAGGTAAAAGTTAGGCTGTAAATTACAGATGTTTATCTAAGCAGCAGTACACCTTTAAATGCACAATGTGGACTTCAAAATGTATTTCATCCCTCACCTTCTTACTTTTATGAAGGATTTTCTATTGTTCAATGACTTAAGTGCAAAGTGGTAGCTTGTATTGGAAGGACAGAGCCATTCAGTATGATTAATGTGTTACTAGGTTGGCTGTTTGTGCAAAGTACTTTAATTTTCTATGCTATAAATATAAAAAAGATGAATGACATTGGCACAGTCTCTTTTTGAACTAATTCAAGTAACACATAAAACTCAGATAGTTTTAATTCATTTCTGAATATACTGTTTCCACTGATTTTCCACTGAAACTCAATAATATTGACGCTTGAATAATATATTTTTGCCCAACCCTATTTTGAGGATACTGTAATATCTTTGTATTGTAATGACATTATTGGCTTTATTTTCCTGCTCATTTACATTCTCGTTACCAGGTCATTAGTTCCCAATCTGAGGGTCGGGACCCCCACTTGGGGTCGCCAGTGCCTCATGGGGGGGGGTCGCAAGGCCTTCTTGTTTTTAGGAGATGTATTAAAACTTTAAAAACATACACAGTAGACTTATATCTCAGAATTTCATTTGAACTTCAATAAGTTCTTATTTTAAAAGTTTTAATTATTATTTAAGAACTTGAAGACAACCTGAACACAAGCCATAGTTAATCACTGCTAAACAGCATCATCCAGCATTCGAACAAAGGCCAAGTATCAGGGAGAAGAAATCACTGAAAAAAAGAAGCAAGTAAGTAAGTATGATTGTTAAAAATCAATATAATAACCATAATACAGACAGAGGATTATATTAAAAAATCCTTAAAATATCAGAAAAACTCATCTCGGTTGCAGTATTCATAAGATCTAAATAACCTGCTCAAAAACTGCTTGTTTTACACAAAACTTCTGCAGTTATGGTGTTCTCTATTTGGGTTCATTGTACAGTCCATCAGTTGTTCTGCATGTGTATAATACAATATGAAATATCCATAAAATACATCACTTAGTCAGGGGTCATCAGTTTACTCAATGATAGAAAAGGGAAAAGGATGGGAATCGCTACATTAGTACATCAAGCTGAAACTAATGATACGCTAATTTTATATCAATTTATCTTTTTTTCTTGAAGATTATAAGGTTCTGTTTATGGTTTAACAGTTTAGAGAGGTTTGTGGTGCTGTAGAATTGAGGTATATTTTGTCAACCCCATTTATATCAGTGAGGTAGACTAAATATTAGACGCCCCTTATACAGTTTTAGCTATAGGTGAACCTTATAAACTGGCAACTCAGAACAGATTAATGCTCTCCATATTAAAATTTATTGTACAGTTGTTTCATGTTGTCAAATGTTTCTTGGTAATACATCAGTTATGTATCAAAGTGAGCCCGATTCTGCCCTAACACGTGTGTCCCATATCACACATTACAGTTTACCTCATTTCAGTGACAATCGCTTCACGTCGAGACCAACTCGCTCCGTGTAATTTATCTCTTCTACAACATCTCTCATCGCTTTCTTTCCCTCTCTCTTCACAGCATGTGTCTGGCTGAAAGCTGAGTGTACTATCTTTATCTATTCTCCCAATTTACGCATCACTTTCCTCTGCTGTAATGACAAACCTGTCTCGTCTCCACACAGTGTGATCTAGCTGCATTTAGTCTTATTTTTCAGTGCCGTGACAGCAGAGTTCCCCCGCTCTACCATACCCCCCCTCCGGTAGACATGAAGGCTGCGTGCTGAAAACTTCATTTACAGCATGAGCTCCTCTCTCTTGATGACATCTGATCTGCAGAGTGGCGTGTTTGTGTGACACAGTGAGCGAGAGGAGAGTTGTTATCTTTCCATTGTTTGCTGACAGCCTGAGCAGGATGTGTCCATGTGCAGTGTGTGTGTGAATATAGCAGGGAGAGTGTGTGTAATGCCCCTATGTTGATGAGGAAAAGGAGTACATTTGTGTGTATATATATGTGAAAGAGACATGGAGATGCATATATGAGTGTGTGTGTGTCTTCCTTTTGTGGGCTGCAGAATACCTATGCATGTGTGTGTACATATATGTGTGTGTGTGTTGTTGCTCACTGTGGCCTGCTTTCTTTTGTCCGACTGTCAACAGACCAATTCTCTGACTACTTTACCATGTCGTCAGTCAAACCACTAATCACACCAAAACCCATTCCTCGTTCAGCTCTTTATCTAAAGGCGATTATGAAACCAACAGAGGCAAATATGTACACCACACACACACACACACACACACACACACACACACACACACACACACACACACACACACACACACACACACACACACACACACACACACACACACACACACACACACACACACACACACACTCACTATGGTCAAATGCTATTCACAAATAATTCTTGTGAGTTTAATTTACCCTGTACAGAATAGCAGATGGAAGCCTTGTACTGCACAACAATATAATAAGTCACACAACCCCAAGCGAAATAGATTTTTATTTTGTTATTGTTTAGATCGTCTAGATTTTGCATCTCATTGTGTGTGCACATTTTAAACATTTATGAAAACCTTACATCATTATCTCACTTTGGTCTAGCAAAGACAAAATAATGAAACACTTTTACATTCCAAATACTGGTGCAGAGGTGGGTCATATTAGGTTGACCGCTAATTGGCAGAAGTTTTCAGCTGTAAAAGTCATTCGATAATTAGCCGTTTAATATGGGAGTTAACAAAGCAACATGAGTCAGAGCCAAAATTACAGGTGCACTGATAAAGTAAACTGAAAAAAACCCAACAAAAACAGCAGATTTATTCATGTCAAGGGCAATGCAAGTATAAATGGAGCGTAGCTTTAGTTCAGGCAGAGCAGGAAAGTTATCAGCTGCTTGACTATCAGCCATTATAACCTTTTCACCATTAACCTGTTGATACTTCGTGCAAGTTGCCAGATTTCTCTGCCACCTCATCTCACTGCTTATGTGCTTTATTTTTTACATTTAATGTTCATGTATCTGTTTGTTGAGGGCCTTTCCTACGAAATCTCACTGTGTAACTGTTTTCTATAAAAAGGTCAGTTTTTTCTGACTGAACTTTCTTTGTCAAACACAAGTTAGCTGCTTTGAAAGAGAACAGAATCTCTCTCAAGTTGAGCTCTTACAGGAATATCATCGACTGAAAAATATTAATAATTATCTTTCATTTACCCTGCCTAATATAGGCTAATCAGTTTGACCTGTAACAAAAGTACTGCATTGAATCGATCGTCTATTGTAATATACAACATTCTGCATATTTTTAGATAGCGATACCACAGAGGCAACATGGGCTTCAAACACCATTGATAAGGTGAGGTGTTGGTAAGCCACCAATATAGTAGGAAGTGGATTTTAGACTACTGCTTTGTGTCAGGAGCAGAGCAGTATATTACAGTAATTTCTCCTCTCCTTATCAACTGTGCAACACTAAAACAACAGAGGTGTGTTGATTACAACTTCAGGAAGTAATGATGATAAGAAGGACACTGTAAATCAAATAGAAGAATGAGGCGTGCACACACACAGTCAAATATACAGTGTAATATCCCGGGAACCCTGAAGACATCCCATTCATGATGAAAAATGAGTCTCATAATGTGTAATATCATTCTAATGATGTATAAACAATCTGGCTGGACAAACGTCTCCCTAATGGCATAACAGTTGTAAATGGGGCAAAGAGTGCCGGGTCTTTGTTGTGTTCAGAAGCGAAAATTAGACCCGAAACTCTACTCTTCTACCTGAGAGGCTTGATCTGTGGGGCAAGCAGGGTTTCCCACCAGAATACACACACACACACACACACACACACACACACACACACACACACACACACACACAAACACAAACAGGCACACACAGAGAAAGGGGCTTTTCAGGCTGCAACAAAAGCCCTTCTTTCTGCCTGATGGTGAGTGGAAAAGACAGAGGGAGGGAAGGAGGGGCAGAGAGTGATAACACTGAGAGACAGAGAGAGGAGCTGAATGAATGAGGGTCAGAGAGTTAGTGAGAGAGGAGGGAGACACTAACTCTGTTACCATCACAACAAGTGGAAACGCTAAAAGGTTATTACAGGACAGCAATTTGTCATTTGCTGTAAACTTGAAAATGACATTAGCAGCAGGTAAAGTACTTCATAGTTTGAAAATGTATCCCACTGTGCTAAACTTCCCAAGTGTCACAGCAGGTTACTAGGTTAATTTTGCACAACCACTGTGGTAGAATTGCTTTTTTAAAGTCATTAAGCTGTTTACCTGTTCATTAAGAAGACCCAGTCGACCTCTAAGACAATTTAACACGTTTTTACGGCTGTCACCTTTGACAATAACATTAACGAGGAGGCTGTGGGTGGGCAGGGAGAAGTGGGATTACTGACTTTAAACAGATAATCCTGAAGCTTGTCATAAAATACTGTTTTTTTTCTGTGGTTTATTCTTTATTTCTTTAAGTTTATTCTTGACCTCAGCCACAGCAGTTGAGAAAACAACACAAGGTTCATTTAGTAGCTGTTCTGGGGGTTTTGAGCAGTGGTTAATGTAGCTAATCATAAAGACTGTGGGCATACAAGACCCGTAAAACCATGACCGACTTGAGGTTTTTACACTTTGGTTTTTGTGCAGACTGAACAAGACAGAAATAAAATGTCAGTCACAGGTGCTGGAGGGCAGATTTTGTTCCCTTTGGACAGCAGTGACAGCAGCTAGCTGTTTCCCTGCCGTTTCCACTCTTTGTGGAAAGTTAAGGTAAGGTAACTCAGCTAAGGCAACCAGCTGTCTGTAGCTTCATATTTAGCACACAGACCATCCATCTTTTCATCTCACTCTGGGTAGGAAAGTGTATTTACCAAAGTGCTAAAAAGAAGAGAAACATTAATATCTGCAATACAATGATCAATAGGCAAAAGCTCACGGGCAAAGCTGGGCAGACCTTGTGGTGAGATTGTTTTCCCAACCAATGTTTTAAAAGAGAACAGATATGCCGTACGTATAAACAGGGATTAGCCCTTGGTGCTGTGACTACATATTATGCAGTGCCTTATTCTGCTAACAGCTCAAAATATCAATATAACCTCTGAAAGAAAAGTTTAAGTCACCTTGGACATCATAATAACAGAAATGACAGCAGGCCAAGTGCCTGTGAAATTTAATTTCAGAGCTGAACAAATTACGTTCCCCTTTAAAATCCCTCTAAGAATGGCCTGCTGCCCAGTGAGTGATTGCGAGTTGATCTATCTTCAAAGCAAATCTTTATCACGAGCCTTGACAGTGAATAAACCATCACAATGATTTATCAGAATGTTACACAGATGAAAAGCTGACAAGGTCAGCACAGCGACTCCTCAGGTGGCAACTGCTGAAAAATGAGTGAATGCACTTTGTATGCATTATCACACTCCTTCTCTGGGAAGTGTAAATTACTTTTCTACTTGCATAACGAGAAACTGAGGGCTTGGTGCTAACATCAATCTGTTTCAGAAAAGTTATGGGATCCATTTCAGGCAGAATATTGAGCAATAAATATTCAAAACCATTCTCATTTTTTCTCATTCTTTTGGCCTGTGTCACTGACCTGTATCTCAAATCAGTATCACAGTACAAAATTAAAGCTGCTGTAACAAATATTTTTATGTAGAGGCATGCCTCTACGGATGGTGATGTTGTTCTGTCTGTCCACCAATTTGCTCCAAACAGAAATCTCTCAAAAACGATTGGATTGATTGGCATGAAATTCTGTACCGTCATTCATGAACCCCGGAGGATGAATGATTTTGGTGATTCCTCACATCTAGCACATTAGGTGGATGTATTGCTGTTCAATTTGCTGTGGACAGCAATGTCTTCATCAGGATGAATTGTAATCACTTTGGTGAACCCCTGGTTTACTGTAGCTCCATCATCAGGTCAAAATTTCTATTTGTATGCTATAATACTTTGTTTTATGACTGATACATGAAAAACTAATGACATTATGAATATCAGTATTTTTGGGGAAAATGGTAAAAATGTGGTCTATACCTCCTAAACATTAGCATGTTAGCGCTGTCACATGAGAATGTTGCTCAAAGCACCGCTGTGCCTAAGTACAGCTTCACAGAGCAGCTAGCATGGCTATGGACTAGTACACTAGTTAATATTGTTATATCTGCAATGGATCAAATGACTATGTGTATATGAACAGTGTCACACTTGTAGTGACTTCACAAATCCTCGGAGCTCTGTGGATCATTTTAGTGTCTTTTAGCTTATTGTTTCGGTTTTAGGGCTGTTGGCCAGAAGCAAATAACAGACTGCAAAAGCTAGTGCAAGTTAGCGTAGCTCTTTAAGCAGGAGATATCACACAGATGTTGTATAGAGAAAAACAGAACTAAAAGTAGAATTAATATTGATTAATACTGGACTTATATTACATTCACTGTGTCCAGAAACACAACTCCACATGAATGCTAATGTTGCACCATATGTGCTGGATGTATAAATAAGAAACAGTTTGCTACCAAGTTCACAATATCAACCTTAAATGATTACTCCAATTAAATGTATTACTTATCCTTCCTCCCCTCAGTGGCCAAAGGAAAAAAAAGAACATTTAATGCAGGTTTCAAAGGGCCTGCACAGGTGTTTTCACTCATCCTGGCTGATGGGCTTCTGCTCAGGGAGAATGTGGGTAGGGCTGGTGCACCAATAAAGCAGCTGATTTCACTGCCACATTTAAACTGCAGCATGTCGATACTTTGCAGCTAGCTTCAGTCTAGACAGTGTTTTGTCATGGGATTAAGTAAGACGTCATTTTAACAGTCACATTTCCTTGCTAACTACCATGACATACAAAATCTGATTTTTATCAAACAACCTTGGAGTGTTAAATTTAAAATGAGTGCCGCAGACGTGAATGAAGGCTTGCTATGCTAATCACAGCGTATCATTTACACCTGGATCAATGAGTATAAACACCATTTAGGAGAGTTGTAACAAGAGTCTTAAGGCAATCAATGATGCAGAAACAGCCCCGACAACGAGGATGTAGTGTAGGGCTCATGTATCATTTGCTGCTGGACACACGCTGTTTTGTATGAGTGGAGTCTGAAGTGAAACTTAATTTGGCACAGTGTTCTCATAGAGGGAGAGAGGAGGGGGACCCAGGGGAGAAGTGCAGTTCCCAGGACATTTTAGGCCTGGAGAAAGAGGGAGGCAAAGAGGGAGCGAGAGAGAAGGAAAGGTGGTGGTGGTGCTGGGGGGTATTCTGTTGGAATTCCCTGGATGGCCAATCCCAATGTCAAACAGCGTGCGCACACACACACACACACACACACACACACACACACACACACACACACACACACACACACACACACACACACACACACACACACACACACACACACACACAGAATAGCATTCCTTTCTATAAATAGCAAGTGCTTTGTCCACATCTTCCATATGGTTGTCAAATTATATCACAAATCCTCCTCTATCTCAGTGTATGAGTGGACATGGGGGTTTGTATGCGTGTATGTATACATTTGGCTTCATGTGTTGGATTTAGACTTTATTTTAGGCTTGCAAGACCTCGGGCAGTACTTACCGTTGCAGTCTCTTAAATCTCGATGGATATGTTTTGCTGAAGCATGCCTGAACACATCTGAGGAAGCAACTCCAGCACACTGACCTGGGCTGCTAACTCCATACATGTTTTTGTGTGTATGTTCCTGTCTCTGTTCATGCAAGTGTTTGTGTATAGTTTCATGGTTAATGTTTTATGTATCAGTACTCACTCGTAGTGACTTCTTTGATCATCTCAGCTGAGGCGTGACATCCGTTCACTATATGTCTGGTCCACAGGGACAGATCCTTGGTGGTCTCAGCCCGGAACAGGTGAGTCTCGATGCCGAGTCTCGTGCCAGTCCGAGTGGCAAAGAACAGCTCCGTGCCGGAGTGAGGTGACCCCCGGTCGGGGCCAGAATGGACCAGACTGGATAAACACATACACACATAAACTGTCATATAGCATGGGGAAGGGAAAATACATTTTTGTCATTGTAACAAAGAAAGTATCATTGTCATGACAATTGCTACTGTATAAGAAAGGAAACTTCTTGTTAATGAAAAACCTTGTTAATTAATAACACATTCTTCTCATGACGATATACAATGAGAATTGTTTACCCCCTCTCACAGTGGAGTTTTCATACTAGATATCAAAAGTGACTTAAAAAGCAATAAGACTACCATTTTTTGAGAATTGTAAAATGTATGCACTGTGTAGTGCCCTAAGTAACTGCCCCAATGGAACGATTAAAATGCAATAACTTGATGCCTTAACTTTAACCTTTTAATCCCCCATGTGCCTCTACGGCCCTGAGGCCCTTAAATGCAGCTTTCCTTGGTTCCCAAAACGATATTAAGAAAAACAAAGGTGACAGAGCATTTGCCATCAGAGCCCCCAAACTGTGGAACAGCCTTCCAGAGGAGATCAGGATGGCAAATTCTATCACTGCATTTAAGCCTCTTCTTAAAGTGCACTTTTATAGTCTTGTCTTTCTGTAATCCTTTGTTCTAAACTTTTATTCACCTTTTATTGTTTTATCTTTTTACTTATCGCTATGTTTTACACTGTTGTTGTTTCATTCTATATATTGTTACTGCTGCTATGGTTCCTAGTGTTCTGTTGTTTGTGTTGTTTTTACCCCGTAAAAGCAAAACATTTTTAAAGATGTTATATTAATAAAGTTTACTATTATTATTATTATTAGTAGTAGTAGTAACTTATCATCTAGTGCCACCAATAGAGTTTCTTGCAATACTATGCATGTTAGCATGCTGACGTACAGCCTCAAAGAGCTGATAGTGTGACTGTAGACAATACGTCACATTCAAAATGTGCAAAAATCTAATTTCTGCCATGCTACAGCTGTCAGTGATGATGCAAAATGAAGCAAAAACCTCAATTTACTGCTTACTATAGAGTAAACTACAGCTGTAAAGCTTATTATATAGAGAACCATATTGGAAGATAGATAAAAGTTCATAGTTTCCTTTGGACCTTGTTGTGCTAAAGAAAATACAAAAATGGTAGGTTGTCATGCTAATGTGCTCACAATGATACAAAAATGCTGGTGTTCAGCAGGTAATGTTTACCATATTCAGCATTGTTGTTTAACATGTTAAGATGCTTTGCAACATTCAAATTAGCACTCAAAACAAATTAGCTAAAAGTGGCTAAAATGTGAGTGATATTTTAGCACAAGTTTAGGCTACTGTTTGCCACAGTATCTAAATCAAATTCCTGTGGTAACACATAAAATAAATATTTTGTGGTGCAAATATATAGCGTGTGTTTGTCTTTACATGTGGGGGTGGACCTACCGTGTTGCTAAAAGTGGATAAGTGTGTGCAGGGCTCTGCCATGCCTCCTTGCCTCGTGGTAAACTGTCAAAAAGCAGCAGGTCTTTCTCGGTCACAACGACCAGCACCGGCTTCCAGGACTGCTTCTCGCTCTCTGTCTGCAGGACACACATATAAACAGTGAGACAGGGAACGTTGCATCCGCCTATCCATTTTCTACACCCACTCATCCTGTGCAGGGCCATGGTTAGGGCTGCTGTTTGTAAACACTTGACAACTGATTGTCTGTGTCTGACCAGCAGCAGCCCCAAAAAGGTTCATAATAATATCAACAAATCTCTTTGTAGATGTAAAGGTTTGACTTGATAAACTAAACATTAAGATTCTAACCTATTTCAGTGAAACAAATGAATGAATCAGTTCTACAGGTTGCTCATGTTGAATTGGAATCAAGCACAACCTTGATTAATTTAATGCTGCAGGATTTGATGTACCTTTGCCCTCTTACATTTGTCACAAATACTGAAATCGTCCTCAGGTTTTTAGATGAAAGCAGGTATTTCATCAGTAAGATCAATGGTTGCGTGCCAGGGAGCTGCTTTATGGGACTAATGTTGTGTCAGAGAGAGGAATCGTGTGTGTGTGTGTTTAATATGTAAAAGACTCAGTGTGTACTCAGCAGTGGGTGTAGACCGGTCTTCACCTCTAGACTTAATCCAAGACTGGGTATGCAAATATTATTTTTCTCTCTCACTTCTGTATACCTAAACCCCATTCCACCTGTCTCTCTGTCATATTTCACCCCAAAAAGCTCCAAAAATGATCTAATTTGGGTTCTTACGAAGCTGTCCTGGTCCTTAACTGTAAACGTGTACGTTCACTATACTGTCTGCACAGTGGAGAATTAGCTAAAAATAAAGGTGGCCGGTGTGTAGGTACACTTTCCAAGCATTTGCTTTGTTGTGCCCCTCACCCACCCGTCTCCTCCTAACGAGCGAACGTCTCACTTTCCCTTCAGAACACACACTGTAAATCTCTTAACTTGGAGCACACGCAGCCTGGTATTTTATTTTACAATGCTCCATAACTATTCTCATTATTAGAGCTTATCTTCAGCCCAGCCGTGGAATCCTAAGCTGCTCTTTGAAGTTATGCCTCAGCCAATCATATCGTGGGATTTAGAGGGTCAAGGGTCAGCCTTTTAACATAATGAGAATATGTTGCTAAGTAACAGTATTGTACTGCATTCTAAGGATCAAATATTGGCAAATTCATGAGGACTAAATTAGACAGGTATGAATGTGTGTGTGCATGTGGATATATTTGCACAGGTGTGTGTCTGTGTGTGAAAGGGAGAGTGAAGCTTTATCTGTGTGTCTGTGTGTGCTTGTATGAATATGTGTGTGTACAGAAGATAAGAATAATACAAAAATATGTGCGCAAACACAAGTACCTTTCCACACACACACAAATTTGCAATTCTATACCCTGTGTGTCGTAACGCATCCCTGAGCTCACAGCATTAACCTTGACAATCACAACTAAATGCCAAACCCCAATTCTGTCCTGAACGTAAACTAAATCTAATTCTAACCATATGCTGATTATTATTATTAGATAACTGTGATTCACAGGGCGGAAACTAAGTTTAGTTGATTGATACGTTTTGTTCACGGCAGACAATATATGAAAGACATACTGCCACAGCAACAGTAAGACTAAAGGCGTCAGTATGCTCCCAACGCGCGCGCACACACACACACACACACACACACACACACACACACACACACACACACAATGTCGGAATTGGGGGGCTGGTCCGACCATTTATGTAACTTTCTGAAAGTAACAGTCCGATATTCACACTACGTAGTAAGTAAAGAGGGTTTGAATTGCTCTCTCAAGCTCTCTTTTTTCATTTGCTACACGATTACTTTGTAGTTTTTAAATTGACGGAAAGTGTGCACTGTTATTACCATAATTAAACAATATTACATCTCCCCCCTTTATTTCACCCCGCTTCCAAGTGTGGTTGTTATGATGATATGGATATTATGATTAGATGACACGTTGTATGAAGTAGCTCGTGTCAAGCACGCCATGGGCTTTACACGCAAACGAAAAAACACTTTAAGAGGAAATTAAGAGGAACCTACTTAGCCACTAAACAATGTACGATGTAAATACAGCTGATCAATTAATACGTAAAATGCTAATCATAAGCACCAGCAGCAAAAAATTTGATAATTCTAACAACAAGTATGAGACAAAGCCTTATAAATTATGTAAAAAACACAATTTATATCTCAGAAACTAGCAAATGCCATCCCATATCTTTCATATGTTTCACAGCTGTGGACATAAAAATAACCTAAAGCCAAGTTTTAACCCTTTGAAGACGAGAGAACCAACTAAAATGTCTTAACTTTCAAAAAAATGTCCACACTTTTAAGGTGTAAAACTCAAATTTGTCCTGACAAAGGTAAAACAAAAGCACACACATGCTTATACACACCTACACACCATAGCCACAAAATGGTAATTAGTAGAGAAGGTACCAGATCTAGAAGCATGGGTGTCACACATAAAAACACACACACACACACACACACACACACACACACATATAACTGTACAGTTGGATATTATAAAGCATTTTACACTTCCTGTCTCTGTCACATGCACACACAAACACACACACACAGCGACTCCTACCTTCCCTGCCAGCCATCCCAGGTGTCGTATCTCTTTGCTGCCAGCAACCCCCGTCCTGGCTGTGTGCTGGATGACCTCTGCCAGCGAACGCTGTGGGGGATGACAGTTTTTCGGGTATGATGATCATTTAGGATGCATTACGCTCAAAGCAGCTTTGAGGAGCTGAATCATCGCCACAGTAAAATGTCTTTTTCGAATGGTCACATTGATGAGAATTCTCTGTAAAATCAATGAAATCAAAGACAGACCTGTGCCAGTGTGGATGTAACAGAGTGCATGACAGAGAACCAGGACAGGGCAGATGGTTGGTCTGGGCACCGCAGCACCACGGTGTGCCGGGTGTCAGGGGAGTGCAGCTCCAGTTGTCTGGAGGAGGAGATAAGAAAAGTTAAAACAGCTTTAACCTCTCTGTTATCATTGGATGGGTTCTAAAACTTTTATAGTTCACATCCCTTGATGAGTAAATTCACTTTCAAATATTGAACATATATTGCTAGCCTTATCAGGCAGGCCCAATTTGACTCAATTTAATCCCAGCTCATGGTTTTAGAAACCAAATGTTATCCATTTAGGTTTCAGCTTCAACAGATGCTCGTTTGTCTCATCCACTTGAAAATGGGCACTCGGTCAGAACAATGTAATGAAGTGCATTGAAATTTCAGTTTATTCAAGTCAATTCAAAACACAAAACAGCATTGCTCATGCATCCTCTGTGGGCCATATGACACAATGCTGTCTCCCACTAAATTTCCATAACTAATCTCCTTATATCATATGGGAGTATATTAGACCTCGAGAGAAATGCATCTGTAAGATGCTTCTCCATCTCACTGAACGGCTCTTTGATTGTGTGCTGAGTGAATATGAATTTTAAAAAAGGTACACGTTGCAGCCTTTACAGTGCATAAAGCAGTGCAGTGTTGCTTCATATTGTAGCATCAATGCAGTTAGTGTTCATCTCTGTGGAGTAAACCAGCAGAAGAAATACTCTGGAAAGGTATGGGGTAAACCGTCTAGAATAAAGATGCAAAGTAATAGTGATCTTTACTTTGACACACAAACAATGGCTGACTCAGAGGTTTAGAGGACAAAACCTCCGTGAATGGTTCTTTATTGTGTGCTCATGCTGAGATTTGGCCATCTTTGAAGAATATGAACCTGTCCCTGGAGGTTTGAGCAGTGAGAAGGCACAAACTGAAGCTAAAGTGGAATCATTTCACAATTTATTTATGTTAAATCTGTTGTCTATGCTGCTCCAATCAGTATTTGTAGTAATAAAAACACTTTAAGGCAAAGCAGAAAGTAGAGATGTAAGATTTTAAACTGCATGTCAACACGGAACTGTTGTATAGTGAATGAAATGAGGAGAAACAGTACAGTCAGTAAAATTTGCTACAGGATGTACCCAGGGCAATTTTCTGGAAGTACATGTTCAGTTTCATCTCACAACATAAATTTAAATCCATTCTGGATCTTTTGAGTTTATACCAACTCTGAAACAATCTAGTGCCTCTGTTAACAGCACTCCACTGTCCAGGTGCTCCCAGTGGTTTAAAATAGAAACTACTCCAAAACCAGGGTGGTTTCAACTCTGCAAACATGCTTTCTTTGCAGCTTTCTTTATTCATACAGCACACACTGGGGACCTGGAAAAGCCCCGGTGAATGTGATGAATCTGCTCTTCCATCAAACCCTCGGAGGAGGGCGAGACCATCTGGATCTGCTCCAGGTGTTTCTCTGGGTTAAAAATACAACTGCTGCCTGTAAAAGGCAAGTTGATTAAGGACAGGCCAGGGGAGAGCAGAGGGGGAGGAAGCGTTGAAGACTCCAGGCCCGATGTGAGTTTGGTAGAGGAGATTCTTTAAGGATGGTGTGTGTTTTAGCAACTTGACTCCCATGAGTTATTGTAGACTTAAAGGAAGCGTTGTCTGCCTTTTTCTGTCGTAGATGTGCAGTGGCTTTGGGACTAAATTTCCCATCTCTTGCATGTGTGTGACAGTGGATTAACATGGGGACTCAGTGGGAGAACAGCACATGGACTGGATGACCCTTACATAGACTTGAGAGTATGGAATTATTTTAGTCTGGTCCTGCTTTAATGAAAATCAATCTCACACTTGATCAAAAGGTAGTTGTTCTCACAGGATCATCACTATATATATCAAACATGTATATATATAGTGTATAGTATGTTCCAGCATACAAATGTGATTCATGCAAGAATTTTGTTCTAATTATTAAACGGTGAACTTTGTATGGACACAACAGTTCCATAAAAAGAAATGTTTCAATAGCAAAATATCTATTTTAAAGCAAGGACACCCTTGGCAATGCTGTTTAAATACTGATATTCTTGACATAACAAAACAAAATATATGCCTTTTGGAATTAAGCTATTAAATGTGTTACCTCAGAGAACAAGAAAACAAATTCAATTGTTTGTTTTGGCCCATGCTGCTTCTGCCTAGATCCAAACAATGACTCAACATGGAATTGTTGCTGAACACATACGCTTCAGTCAGAGCTGTTTTCAAGTTTTTTGGGACAAGTCCAAGATCCAAGTCTTGAGCCTTGGCAAAGAATATCTCAAGTCATGTTTCAAGTCCTTAGGGCTAATCCTTCATATGCAAATTACAAATGAATTGCAGGTCTGACATCATTTAAACATTTTCCTTATAAAGCTTTGTAACAGCATGTTTTCACAGCTGTGTACTCCAATGCATGAGCCTAATCATTTTAATATTTACTGTAATGTGTGTGTTGCCATGCAAGGCTTGTCTGTTGCTGTATTATTTATTAATTTATTTATCTTTATCTGAACTACAGTTAAAGGTTTCCCCATGGTTTTAGAATTATTATTTTCTGGTAATTTGTTACTCATTTCCTGGGATGCGTATGACTATCTTTGAGGTTCATGTAACACAACAGCACCAATCATTCAGAAACCACTGATCCTCTCATTAGCAGCAACCTCTCACCAGTTTTGGCTCTGGTTTTTGAGTTTTTACAGGTCGTTACATGGAAATATTTGACCACTTTTACAGTTCTTTCCCAAGGTTATTAGGGTGGGAAGAATATCTATCACATGGTAGTCTTATTTTAGTGGTTTGAGGAATGGCAGCATTGTTCTTGAATATGTAATGGTATGTTTGATTCAGCCACTTGTTGTATATTCTGTTGCCCAGTCTGCATAGTTAGCTTTACAGATTTTGCATGTTCCTTCTTTCACTTAGTCTAAGAAATATTTTGCCACACAGCTATACTGTAAACTGCCATTTCAGCATGAAAAGTAATCAGAAGGTGTGGAGAAGGTGTCTGTGTTTCAATACATACACAGTATTCAGTACAGACATACACGCAAGCACATGCTATAAATCTGTGGGTGCCGCAGGTATTTTTCATAAGAAACAGGGCCAGATTTTGGAGGAAATTCCCAGGAAATACTGGCACATACTCAAGACCTGGTCTCATGCCCTAAATCATAATTTATAGACTTCAGTGTGTGTATATATGAGATCACTGTCACAGGGAATACAAACAGCGCTTGAAAATGAAATGGGTCAAGAGACATGCCTTTGTGTAAGTGCAGTACATGTACAAGTACAGTAAAAGATAAAAGTAAGAAATTATATCATTCCAGTTGTAAGGCCAATTTTGCAGCACTTGGATGTGTGTTTTTATATGATAGTACGCTGGCATACAACTGACCTAGGTGAGAGAAAGTTGGAGAGAGAGTGTGAGTGTAAGTCTTTACATGCTTTCAAAAACTTGTCAAGGTTAAACTGAGGTACTGTAGAAAACTGTCAAACTGTGAGGAACCATGCTGGTTCTGCCAGGAGTCATATCCTCCTTTTACACTGCCATACATGTTTTCTGAGGCTATCTAAGTCTCACACATTCACACTGCAGGTTTTTCAAGTTTGTTGCCTCCATAATGACAAAGATTAACAGTGAAAGAATTTTTTGAGCTAATTCATTTTCTTCTCCTTGCATCTACTCCTTTTTTCTTGTTGATAATCTCTGCCTTTCCCACACCCTTTCATAACATTTTCAAGCCACACTGTAAATGATAAGAATTTAATCCTCATTCTTTAATTTAATATGTCACCAATGTCACAGAAAGTTAGACTTGTGTGTATGTTAAAGTAAGGTGAGGCAAAAATGGCTTCAGAGTGTTACATAAAGTAAAGATAAATCAAGACCTCTCTTCTCCCTAACTTCTCTTTTCTTGTCTTTTATCATCTCTTCTGTACGTGCCACGCCTTTCCTCATATCCCCCTCTCCTGTGTCTCCTCTAAGGCTTCCACACAGTTTAAACAACATCTGCTGAAATGAAGAGAGAAGCCCTTAGAGGGATGCAACATTGCACTGAGTCTAGTAAAAAAAAGATAAGCCAGATTTCCCTGTCACTTAACATAAAGCCTCTTATACCATTTCAGCTCTGGACCCAAAATAAGAAAAACAGAGAGTAGGTTTAGTCTTTCCCTGCAATCTTTAACAGATGTATATTACTTAGGAACATCAGAAGTATTGAACTTTCCAGTATAAACGTTTCATGGTTTACGTCTAACAGACGTCCGTGTCCTCCCATTTAAACATTTACTAAATATTTACTGGTGAGTCATAGAGGAATTTGTCCTTGCTGTGAGGATAAGGAAAGAACTTCATAAAAAACACATACTCGTCAAGGTAAATTTGGCCATGGACTTTATCTGTGCTTGTGAATCTGCCCTCCAGCTCTATCAAACCACAAACCACTGTCTTATCTGTGTACAGCAAAAACTCAGCTTGTCACTAGATGAGATATTGACTCCAATTCCTTGTATAACTGGTTGACCAATAAAGTCAAAGTTATGGCCAATAAAGTGAATGTTCAACCATATTGCGCTCTTAAAAGCTTTAATACTAACCAAGATTTGTGAAAGTGCACTGAAACTTTCACCAAACTGTCTTTGGGCGTTTTGAAATGTATGATTAAATTCCATTTCATGTTTTTAAGGGAATATTTGTTTAGCACATTTTCCCATTTTCAGGAAAAACTCTTTAAGCTGTATGTTAAATTGATTCATATCTAAGAACCACTGGCCAACCACAGCATTACATCCAGCTATGTCCCTTTTTTTCTGTCCAAACTGACTCTTTAAGATCAGTTCCTACAAGCTGTTGCCACCGAGAAGCTTCCTGTTATTTTTCAAGTCAAGACAGTTTTTCCTAAGACGCCACACTAAAGAGAGAATAATGTTTTCAAGTTGAAGTTTGACAATGGGGGAAGAAGCTAGTTAACAGGGACGTCACACATATATATATATGTATTTGCCACTCAGGCCACCCGGGACTCACACACTGACATTGATACATATGCCTCCTCTGTTCTGGACTAAATAAACTTGACTCTAAAATCGACAGTGTCATAAACAGATCACAACGCTCGCTAATCAGAAGCCGTGGATGAACCGGGAGGTCTGCCTCCTGCTGAAAGCACGCGACACCGCTTTTAGATCAAGCGATGCGCAAGCTTACAGTACATCCAGGGCTAACCTGAAGAAGGGCATCAGGAAGGCCAAGCACAGCCACAAGCTAAGGATAGAGGAGCATTTCAACAATAACTCCAACCCCCGACGCATGTGGCAAGGCATTCAGGCCATTATAGACTACAAACCGACCAACATAACCACACCAACCGGTGACGCCTCCTTGTCAGATGAGCTCAATAACTTCGATGCTCGCTTTGACAGGGAGAACCAGGAGGTAGCGATCAAGGCTGTGCTCCCTGCAGACCATCAACCCCTCACATTTTCCACCACCGTGTGTGCTGCTCTGAGCAGGACTAATGCATGTAAGGCTGCTGGTCCTGATGGCATCCCTGGACGTGTGCTCAGGGCCTGTGCTGGACAGCTGACTGAGGTCCTGAAAGACATCTTCAACCTATCACTGGCCCAAACAGTTGTTCCTACGTGCTTCAAAACCACATCCATCGTGCCGGTGCCCAACACTCAATTGCATCAAGCCTCAATGACTTCCGCCCTGTTGCACTCACCCCTACCATCATGAAGTGCTTCGAGAGGCTGGTCCTGGCTTATCTCAAAACCAGCCTACAACCCACACTGGACCCCCTCCAATTCTCCTACTGCCAGAACAGGAGTACAGAAGACGCCATCTCTATAGCGCCCCTCCGGTCTGATCACCAAACTTAGCAACCTTAGCATCAACACCTCCCTCTGCAACTGGATACTGGACTTTCTAACCAACAGACCCCAATCTGTTCGGTTAGACAACCACACCTTCTCAACCCTAACCCTGAACACTGGCGTCCCACAGGGCTGTGTGCTGAGCCCCTTTCTATACTCCCTCTTCACCCACAACTGCACACATGTACATGGTTCCAACACCATCATCAAGTTTGTGGACGACACAACAGTGATTGGCCTCATCACTGACAACAATGAGTCAGATGACAGGGAGGAGGTCCAGCACCTGGCACCAACAACAACCTGGCCATCAACTCTAAGAAGACCAAAGAGATCATTGTGGACTTCAGAAAAACCAATGGCGACACATACTCCCCCATCCGTATCAACAGAACCGAGGTTGGGCGTGTCTCCAACTTCAAGTTTCTGGGTGTCCACATCTCCGAGGACCTCTCTTGGACCCTGAACACCTCAACCCTGATCAAGAAGGCTCACCAGCATCTCTTGTTCTTGATGAGACTCAAGAAGGCCCATCTGTCTCCTCAGATTCTGGTGAACTTCTACCACTGCACCATCGAGAGCATTCTTATCAACTGCATCACAGTCTGGTATAAAAACTGCTCTGCCTCGGACTGCCCAGCGAACCACCGGCTCACCTCTCCCCGCCACTGAGGCTCTCCAGAGCAAGCGATGTCTGCGGAAGGTGCGTGGCATTGCTAGGGACACCTCCCACCCAGGTCACAAACTGTTTGCCCCCCTCCCCTCTGGGAGGCGCTACAGGTCTCTCCATTCCCGAACTAGCAGGCTCAGGAACAGCTTTTCCCCCCCATCAGCTGTCAGCCTGCTAAACTCTGCATCGAGGAGACCCCCCTTCCCCCTGAACTCCTGTATTCATAACTACCTATGGTGTAATCATATCTAGCTGTCTATATATAATGTCTATCTCATACTGTAAATATCTTAACTTAATTGCCGTATATATCTTAGTGTATTCACCTAACTCCGCTCATAATGTTAAAACTGTTCATAATGTAAATATCCTGCCAGTATATTCATATATATATCTATAATATTATTATTACTTTTTTACACATTTTTGTACATATGCACATTACTCTGCACTTTACTGCTTTGCACTTCTGGTTAGAGGCTAACTGCATTTCGTTGCCTTATACCTGTACTTGTACAATGACAATAAAGTTGAATCTAATCTAGTCTAATCTAATCTGATGAGGGCCTTAAGGTGGGTCTTGCTTAATTACCTTATCTTGATATCCTGTCTTTAAGTTAGTAAAAATTTAACATAAAAAAAAGTGTTTGACATTTTGTGACTCACGCTTTATTTCTAGTAAACACATTTCCTTGATTGCTTGATTTTCAAACCTTCTGCTGCAAATTGTGGAGTTGGACCACATTGGAGTCCACAGCAGTGTAACTCAGTAGCTGGGGCAAAAAGATGTTTTCTTATGATCCGATGACAGTATGCAGTGTGAACATGACCTCAGATTTTCAATGATGGTGGTGTTCATACTGCCACAGGCAAAGTCCAGAGAATGACTCATAGACACAATCTCTGTCAATAACTGGACAGATTCCCAGCAAGGAAATGTGACAACTACATTTCCCTCTGTCAAGAATAATGTGCTTGTTATTTTTTTTTATTATTTTGTGGGCTATAACAGTTTCATCATACAGGAGAGCCAGCCAACAGAGAACCATCTGTTCTGTCCATGGATGATGTTCTTATTTTTTATTTTCAGTTGGTTGTACTCATTGTTTGTGTGCGTTAGCATTTACATTTTAAAGTTCCAGCGTTGAGGCGCTTAACAACATCTATTCAGACAGATGAACTTTGAAGTCACTGATCAGTATTACTACTTGTCTTTGATGGGGCCTCCATCGTCTGAAGCATTGAAGTTTAGTAAGGTTCAATTATCACACACTTCTGAAAGTATATATATACAGAGGGGACACACATGGATGTAGGGGCAGAATGATAGAATAACACTGAAACTGTAGTGAGAGAAAAAACATAAATCAAGAGAACGACAATAATGGGAGGTAGGGAGGATGGAGATAGAAGGAGATAATTGATTCAGACATAAAGAAGCAGACAACAGAGAAAGCTGGGAACACAGAGAGATCATGAAAGAAAAGAAAGGGAGAGGACAGCGAGAAGATAAAAGGGGAAGAAAAACACAAACAAGTGAGAACAAGTGAAAAATACAAGACAGGAGAGCGACAACGAAAAAAAAGCAATGTGAAACAATATGGTGAGAGAGAAACAGAGAGAGAGACAACTGGAGCACACATTAACAGACTGTGACACCAAAAAAAAGTAAATCGCTTTTTGCCCCCATGCTGTTTGATTGGGCCATTGTCATATTACCAACCAATTAACTTGACAACACCTCTTAACAGATCACCCCCCGCTGACTGAGTGTCATCTGTGTGCTACTTCAAACGTCTGTCTCAAAGAAAAACTGAAAACGACCTTAAAAAAAAAAAAGTCTGAAAACACTACTGGGTAATCCCTTCATGGTAGCAGAAAAGGGCTGAAGAAGTCTCTATGTTGAGTTGAGGATCAGAGTAGAATTGGATAACCTTTGGTTAATTAAGGTAACCATCTTTTGGTTGTTTCAAAGTTGAACTTTGGACAATTTGTCAGTGACAATACTGAGCAAAAGCCTGCGCGCTAGTTCGAGCTGTCGGCTAGAGTCCGCCACTACACTCTGTGACACACTTTTTTCACTGCCACATACAGTACATCCAGTGGACTCTTTTCATAATGACAGGGTACTTAACTTACATTGTTTTACTTTTGTGTGTAAGGCTATATGAACTGATAATGCTGATGTTGTGCATAATTTTTCATTTAAGAAGAAGACATTTTTTGGACATATTGGTACAAAATTGTCCACCATGTTTCAACAGTAGCCCAGAACGGACAAATCAAACACTGGCTCTAGATAGGGCCTTTGTGGCTCCCATAGTTTCTTTTACATGCTTGGAAGGCAAATTGGTTGCAATCTGCAACTTCACTGCAAGATGCCACTAAATCCTACACACTGGTCTTTTAAGGATAGACAATATTCTATATTTTTTCCTGTTGACAATTTTTTAGTCCGTCTCTCAATACTTCCCAACTCTGTCTGTGGCACTCAGCCCCATGCCTCTTTGTTCCTTAATCTTTAAAAACTAAGCCAAAGCTTCATAGGGCGTTGCAAGGCCTTCTTGATTTTCAGACGTACTAGAAAACGTAAAAAAACAGTAGGCCTATATTGAAGCATCTGATTCACCCCTGTGAAGAAAAGTAAATGTAAATTGTCTAATAGAACAATAGAACAAGCCTAGTAAGTAAACATGTTTGTTAAAGACAGAGAATTGTATAAAAAGTTCCCCAAACAAGAAACAATCTGGCCAAAATTCATCCAATTCACTCATTAAACTCAAACTTCTTGTATTTACTGACTTCATTATTTGGGTTAATTGTTCAGTTTTGAATATAATATGAAATATCCATAAAATATGTGATGCAGGGGTCGTCATTTTAGTAAAGGACAGAAAAAGAGGTCTAATATGAAAAAAGGTTGGGAACCGCTGAACTAGTCATTAGTCTGTGAATGAAAAGCAACAAGCACCAGAGGAGCAGGTAATGTTTAAGAGAGACTGAAGTAGACGGCAGCTTGTACAGAGAACTGCCTTCTGCTCAAGAATGAGGAAACATTTTTTATGGTGTGTGTATGTGTATGTGAGACCTACCTGTTCTCAGGGTCTGGTGTGGTCATGGCTCGGGTTACATAGCACATCTTTAGTGGTATGCACCTCCTGTCACCCTGCAGGGACAGGGAGGGCTGGGCAGCAGGGCTCGGAGGGTCAGATTGGGAGGAGAAGGTGATGGGAGTGCTGCTGAGACGGGGAGACTCCGGAGGGGGGGTTTCCCAGCTGATCTCTGACACAGGAGAGCCCTTTTTGACGTACGGTGTGGCCTCGCGCATGTACTTCACTGGGCAGAAAAGGAAGAGAGAGATTTCCAGTATACAGTAAGATACGATGAAGAAGGTTAACCTGGGACATTTGTGAGATTTAAATGTTCTAGAGATACTTCTGATTGAACACATCACTTAGCAAAAGTATAAAGCCTTTCTTAATTATAGCTATATAACATCTTTCACTCAGTAAATTCCTGCTGCAGTTTCTGGTCTAATATTTGTGTGAGCAACACACACACAGATTACTGAATCATTTCATAATGTTAATAACTGCAAATCAATGCGTTATATTTACACCAAACAGTATGCAGTAAGCCTTGTTTTATTAAATGCTTAATGAATGGATTACCATTTCGTGAAAACAAGGAAAAATATATGCTTAATTATGTATTCATAGTTACACAAAAAAAAAAAATCACATTTACAGAATTTAAACTGCATCAGGGCCAGCTGCAATAAACACTGACGTCTCTTGGCAATAGCATTGTTTTAACAACATTTAACACAGAGGCCAATCATAATCTGAGTAGAATCTACTGTATGTTTGACCTTGTAGCCATCACTTGATATTGAACCCCTATTTCAGGCTTGCATTCCAGGAGCAATTAGCACCTTACTGTCTAAAAACGTTTGCTCTTTTGAAGGTAGTTCATATTCACAACGCAGGAAGGATGTGGGGATACCACAGATCTCTATATACACAGCAGAAATAAAAACAATGTAATTATGGTACCACTGAGACATTTGGTAAGTACTACAGATTGTCATGGGGCAGCAGATAGGAAATTCTCAGCAATATCTCTGGGCATTAATGATGCTTCAACTCTGGCACCAAGGCCCTCAAAGACGTGTGGGTAGTCTGGAAGCTTGTCAGTATGATATTTTTGTTTTAAGAGTCAGTCTGTTCAATAACTATCATCCAATGCTCCACTGGTTCAGGTTTGCATGAGATAAGAATGATAAAAACCTTTATTGTCCAGAAATATAGAAATTTGCCATTGGTTTCACAGGTTGGTTAAAACTCATTGTTGTAAATCACAATCCAACAATAATAAATAACACAACATGCATGGTACAGACAACAATAATGGATACAGCTCCAGTGTGAGACGTGTTTATGAATTGAGCAAAGTTATTGCATTTGGTATGAAAGACTTTTTGTAAATGTTCTTGGTTGCTGCAGCGGCTATATGGCGTCTTCCAGAGGGCAATTTTATGAATTTGTTAAAAAGGGGACGAACGGGATCAGACACAACTTGTCTGGCTTTCTGTTTCACCTGCATTTCGTATTTATATCCCAGTTGTTTCTGCTGTTTGCCAATAATCTTACTGGCCGTGTTTGTGATTTTGCAGTCTGTTTATGTCCTTAGCCTCCAGGTGCCCATACCATATACATATATTAAAAGTTAAAACACTTTCAACAAGACTTCTGTAAAAAGTTGTTAAAATATTATTGCTTATATTGTAGGAATCCAATTTTCTGATTAGATACAGCCGCTGCATTGCTTTTTTATGTACTCTGTGTTGGCTGTAATGGATGGCATGGATTTCCTTTAAAGTAGACCTACATATTAAAATAATGTGCATTGTTGCACAAACAGCAGGGCGCTCGGTTGATCAAATGATTACCTTCTGTCTTCCTATCACAATGAGCTGGCACAGTTGGCCCTCTCTGCTGTCAATTTGAAATGATAACACCAAATGTCAAAATGCCAATAGCCAAAACAGACTCAGGTATTCACCTTTCTTCGAATGTAAGCATTCGTGCTGGAAACTGCGCTGATGATTCACACCTTGTCTCTGCTGCTAGGTACGCAGTAGGAAGAGAGTTATGGTCCCGAAAAACAGTGAACTTTTCCCCCTAAAGCTTCAAAAATGTTCCAATAGGACAGGAAACAGAAAGCTTTACCTGTAAATGTCAAACTCTGAATCACTTGAGGCTTGATAACTATTTTAAATTCCTCATGTTTTTTAGGTTTGAGAAGAAGAAAACTGAAGACAGGACATGTGTTTCAGTGAAAGACAGAAATAGAGAGGCAGAGATAAAGTGGGTGCTCAGTACTCTCTCTATGTCCTGAATGTTCTGAATCCTTGGTATACACTGAATGTTTAATTGGCATATCCCACTGTACGAGCCGCATATAATTGGCATATGGCTGGTGGCATTTGTAATCCAGCATATGAACTATTCTTGGGAGAAGTACCATAGACCCCGATGAGACTGTGTAACAAGCCTAACCGCCAACCTGTAGAGGAGAGATGACAGGCTGACACTTAACACAGAGGAGGAGACGGGGGTGATGTGAGGGTGTCCTCAATGGACCTACGGTGACGACGTGAACTGCACAGCAGAATAACCCACACAGTCGGATCAGATTAAGGGACTGAAAAATGGCTGATCTATTTCTTAAAATGCATCATAACAAGCTACAGCACAAATGATTTTCATGGACTGAAAAGATTCTGCTGCACATGGATGATGACAACCTTGTCTGCTTTGGTTTGCTAGGAGTCCTATATTTATCAGACTAAAGTGACACAAAGGCACACTTGGATTTAAATATAGAGAGTGGAGATAGACTTATGCAAGTACAAAGATACACACACTAACACACACTGTCCGCCTCATCTGCTGCAAACATGATGAAGATGTAAAGGAACAGAAGGAAATACCTTAGGTCCACAAAATGAGTGTTTGTGTATGTGCCAATGTTAATCCAGCATTGCTGCCATTCTTTGGATCTGACTGACACACAAAGACATGCACTAGTAAGCATTTTCTGCCATTTTATTAGATTCCTGTGATCAAATTTCATGATAGTTGTAAACAGCAGCAACTTCACAACATTATTAGTGAACCATATTATTCTGCTTGAATTATTATATAGAACTTTGAAGATTTGTTAAGCTTCATTTATAGTTATGTGTTAAGGGGTTACCACGTAGTGACGGAGCAAAGCCACCTCCACTGCAAACCTTCTGAAACAATATGATTGCATCGACTGCATGGAATAGTTCAAACAAGATGGACTATCCCACTGTCATTCAGTAGCACAAAGTTAATGATCTGTCCGTCTAGTGTTGCAGGGGTGATATCAACCGGAGAAACCTGAAGCTGAATTATAAATCAAAACCTACGACTCCCCAAGACTCCCATAAACATCTTGCATCAAACATAAATCTGGCTTTAGACTTTACAAGGCTTCACTAAAAAAAATGGAAAAAACTGAATGGAAAGTAGGACAGATACAATGAATGTATTGATAACAATTTAACTGATAACTATTTCTGTAACTGATCAGGTGTTTAAGTCATTTATCAAGCAAAAAACACCCCAAACTCTCTGGCTTCAAGGTCTAAAATGTGAGTTTCTCTACTGTAAATTGAATGTCTTTGGTAATATTTTCACCAGTTGCCATCCTAATCAGGACAAACATGTGGGAATTTTACTTTGAACACAATGAATTTCAAATGACACTTCAATTACGTGGCCGAACAGCTCATTTTAGGTGTCTACCTTCTCAAGTCTTGGGTTATAAATTTACAGTGACATTCTGAATAAGCTAAATTGAATACTAATCAAATACAGCTACAAACATAATATTTAGTGGGTGATTTGTCTTCAGTTAACATTTACAAAGACATTTTGGAGGGAGGAAATGTAAACTCATTGACCAGCGTTACTGTGCCCAGAAATAGGGCTGTAAGTGTTTCCAGTGAAGGGGAAAATAAATGGGGTGGAGTCCATGTGATCATTACACTGGAAGTGTGTAAATGTGTGTGCATTCCCTTGGGTCATGTTTCTATTCCATTACAGGGCCAACTCTACACAACAACCTCAATAGCACGATAAGAACTTGGAGAGGATAGTGCTTGTGCTACTTCAGCCTTCATTCAAGTTGGTTTGCTGTTACATAAATCAAACCAAAAGATCCAAATGAGGGGCTGCCCTCCCCCATCCGTCTGATTTTAGTTTCCATTTTCCCGCCTCATGCTTGAGACAAAGTGAGATTCACATACAGACACAACTAAATCTTTTTCATCGTGACTCCCACTCTCCACTTGATTTAGAAACAGTAGCTTGCTGTTGTAATAGTCATGATGCAGATGTCTGAATGGCAATGTACCAAAGACCAGCTGTCCAACTCACCACTGAAAGTGACATTCACTTCCACTGATGATATTTTAAACTGTACTCAACCCCATTCACTCACTTATACATTTTGCAAACGAGGCAATTCAATTGAGGTAAGTGTCAGAGCAGTCCACGTATTTTAGTTGTGTCTACCACACACATTCACAATGAATACACACACACACACACACACACACACACACACACACTTGTTCAGTCGCATTCCTCAGCATGTGTGTTTGCGCAGCACCAACCCCTTTTTTACACATACACATACACACACTCTCCACTCTATAACATCAGGTGTAATTACTATATCTGTCTCATTGTGTCTTTTTTACTTAATTGTCCTTATCAGTATTTAATGAGGTCTGAAGTCACTGCACTTTCTACCATATGCCTTAAATAGGGATTTTTATTTGGTGAAAAAAAATGTACCAAAGGAAAAAAGAAACCTCCTTTCATTAAGCCTGTGGGAGAGAAAGTAGAAGGTGTAACATTGGTAGAAGCTGGAAAGAGAACCTCTGGTTGCAGAATTAAGGCATTTCCTTGTAGGCACAGAGCAGGTAGCTGAATTCTACCGCAGCACGAAAGGCCTCTACAAATCAACCTTGGACCAATAGCCCAAAAAGTTCAAATATTGCCTTAACTGAACAATGAACAGAAACTAAGACGGAGGTCCTTTTCATAGAAGAAGAGTAGGTAAAATTACTCATTGACACTGAACTTCAACCTTGATGTCAAACAGTTACTAACTCTCTGCAAGCTCATAACTTCCACTTCCAAAACATAGAGAATGAGAGGTGTGAAATATGTTTCCATGTGTTGTTTCCATACGAAAGAAGAGCTCAAAGACACTTTCTTTTTTAAAAGGTTCTA